AAAATAAACAATTTTTCTGGATTTATTCCTTCCTTTATTTTTTCATATTCAACCACCATTGTTTGTCTTTGTATATACCTGACGATACATTTTTAATTTGAACCCGGTCGTATTTCACAAATATAATAATACTTCAGGCTAAGTATTTATTTTTTTATTTCTATATATACACTATTTGTTTAATAAATTACGAGTATTAACCATTTAATAGTTTTTAATTTTAATTTTATTTTTTTATTAACTAAAATGTATTGTTTTCGATTTTTTTCCTCAATTTGATATCATGGTAAAACATATTAAATCAACCAAATACATTGTTTTCAATACACGTCATCTTAAGTATTGTAGAGGTACGTTAATTATTTTGGTTCAGACGAAATGAACACTGGAAATTAATTTGGAATTCGAAATGCCAAAAAAAATGGACGAACATAAATAATCAAATGACATTGAATCGCTTTTATAAATACTGTTACTTTATTATATACATGCTTTCAATTGTTGTCGTTGTAATAATATTGTTCGAATGCTTATTTTATCAGACATACCACGATGTGCTAATAACAATCGCATTTAAATTAGCACAATAACTTTATACGATGATCGTACAAAGCAATATTGAACTATGATTTGATACTATTCATTTTTAATAAGAAACAATAATTATTTGCAATATAAAATTTGTTAACAAATAATAGTTTAATGTGTGTTATTATAATTATCTTTGTGTAAACTGTTAATTTATATATTTATATAGTATTATACTATTAGCCTACGATGCACAGTAAACAATACAGTTTTTAGTAAAAACTTTTTACTACGAAAATTCGCTGTACATTGTTTCGTAAAATTATTATCTGCAATCTTCGACGTCGATATATTTCTGAATCATTTTGTTCGACAATAATTTTAATTGGTAGATAAGTCGAACGCTGTAGATAGGTATTAAATTCGAAAACAATAACTGATAATAATTTAAAATTACAGTGTAATTTATTCAATGCTGATATTATGACTGAGCAATATTTCATTTTAACCATTTTTACAATGAACGATTCGTATTTGTGATGTATCCAAAATAAATCTCGGGAAATATAGCGTATCTGCTGAAAAATTATTTTATTAAATTTATATTATAAAAGAATTAATGTCGTTATATAATATTCCATTATAACTTATAATAACATTGAATTCCACGAGGCAAAAAAAAAAAATTTCATAGTTGTTCTTGTAAGCAAAAATTTTATGTCAACGAAATACTTAAAATCATGGAATGTATATAAATACATTTTAAATATGAGAAAAATGTATAGTTATAAATCGTATGGTAAATATGTTTAACGATGTTAAAATTCACGTAGTATAGTTACGTCGAAGAATATTGTGTTCAGTAATTCAAAGTTACATAGGAGTGTATTTCATATGTACCGTAAAATTCATAATTAATACAGTGTCATATTCAGTTTCGGGGGGATGATTGTATCACTATAATAATTATCTTTACATCTAAAATTACTTAACTCTTACTATAAACTTTTATTTTGTAATGCTGTTAATTAACACTTAAGAATAATAATGATGCTATTTTATGTTTCACGTTGTTTAGTTCAAACATTTTTTATATTTTATATTTTAATGAAATAAGATTTCCATTAAGTAACATAAATGTACGGTAACGTGTGCTATATACTGTATACATTAATATACCTAAGACTGAATTATTTTGATTATGACATGTGCAGTGAGGCGTCCGGGAATTGGGCCACAGTTAACCTTTTTTCAAAAAGATATAATGTAATTGGGCCACTACAGTTTTACATTTATAACAGGTAGACCCAGTGATTGGGCCACTATTAAATTAATATGTCACATATAAATAATGCTACAATACTTAACAGGATACACGGAATTTTAATCGAAGCGACCGTGTGTCTTATAAAAATGTAATGAAATGATATAGAATTATCAGGGGCTGCCAAAGTCTCATAAAATTAAATGGATAAAAATAGCTAAAAGCATAATTTACAAAGATTATGGAACGTCGCGATCGTTTAGTTAATTGCAAACTATACGATCCATATTTAGTAATATATGCTGGTTCGGTAATATATGAGTAAAATGGAATTATTTGAATTTATAACAATGGAGACAGGAAAAAAATTATTAATTTTTAATAATTATAAATTTTTTTTTGCTCACGAGAGTCAATGTGACAAAATTCGTTGGCAATGTTTTTTTATATTATAAAGTATTATATTATTATATTATATTATAATATATATTATGTATATTATATTATTATATTATTAGTATTATATTTCTATATTATATTAAATTTATGGATCTTGCGTATGGTATTATTAAAAAAAAATTATTGTATTTTATGTATTATAAAAATAATTATTAGTAATAAGTATTGTATATTCGTATATTTTTATGCTGTTCATTTATGGTCCAATATCCGGGTACACTTTAAAAATATAGATTTAATTTGTGGCCCAATCTCCGGGTGGTAAAATTTAAACAAATATTTTATACGAAGCAGGTACTTAAATGTGACACAATTACCCACCATCCGCGAGTGAACTAAACATGTATACTCGTGTAACGGAAGAATAATGCAAAGTTAGTATTTTCATTTACACGTCATGCAATTTAAATCATTAGATCAATTTATTGAAATGATTAAAAATTTTCAAAGATATATACAGTAATCCCTCGTTATCCACGTTTTTTTTATCCCTGGTTTCGATCATTCGCGGTTGGGTCCACGATAACATATTATTAATGTGATTGCGATTGCGATAACGTTTTACCGTTATTGCACGAACACTAGAAATTTATTTTTGACAATAATTGTAGATGATAATTGTTTTTATATCGCTATAGGTATAACACATATACATTATACATATTTATACTTATTGCAGATAAACCACAAAAAGTTACCTACACATGCACGATTAATAATCGTCAATTGCTCATTTGTAAGGTGATATTTGTGCGTGACGCATGTATAGCAGTGTTTAATAAATTATGAAGTGAAAATATTTTTAAATGGCTTCTCAATGTAAAATGTCAATAAAAAGGAGAAGAAATGTTTTTTTATTAATCGTTCAAAAAATTGAAATTTTGGACAAATTAAAAAATAGTGATACTGAGCGTCACTTGTTAGAACGTACAAAATAAATGAGTCTAGTGTTCGAGAAGTACGTAAAAATGAAGAAATAATATGATAGATAATAAATAAATTAGTTGTAGGAATTAAAAAAAATTAAACCTAACCCCCCATTTTACATTGATTTATGGTCTCGTTATCCGCGGATTCGTTATCCGCGCAGGTTTGCTGGAACGTAATCTTCGTGGATAACGAGGGATTACTGTATTATATAAAATATTGTTTATGGATTTTAATTTTCAAATCGAATATTATACATTATAGTATGTTGTGGTTTGTTAACATTTTAATGCAGTGTGAGATGTGTCAGATTCCATTCGTATTTACGCGTCATATTTTAATAATGAATCACATAATAATCGTTTCATTACTCGATTTGACATTTAAATTTGAACTGATGGCTTTACAACAGGGTTTTTCGTATTCAATAATTAGGTATTCTACAAGAACAATCATACAATTATTTTTAGAGCTTAAAAGCGTTCGTATACGAATTACTATTTATAAACCAAGAGGATTTAATCGTCTGACCACAGACGGTGGTGGCGGCAGCAGCCGCGTTTATTCTCAACCATCTATTGGTCGCCGACAATAAGAATGATTGGTTTCAGTTTTTTTTTTTATCCTTCATCTGTTTCAAACAGAAAACTCCAGTGTATAATGTGTGTATCGGGTAATAAAAACGAAAGATGCGTTTTGACGGGTGCACTACTGCGTACGAGGTGCTCATATGGACGATCGAGAAAAGTTTATCTTGGTAAATATTGTGAAAACTTTTTTTTGCTTTTTAATATAATTTCTTTTCGATATCCAAAAAACGTCAGATTATATGTGTATACATATATATATATATATATATATATATATATATATATATATATATATAAATGTAGACCAAATAATAAAGATCAAAATAGCGAAGAAATCATTTTTTACAAATTCAAAACATTGAAAAAACGAATCTTTGAAATTCGAAGAGCTGGGTACGGCATTTTTCGTAAGCGGAAAAGTTAATATTGCGGTGCGGCAATGTGGAAAGGTCAAGATTGAGAGCATAGGATATTTTCGATCCGGTATAATATGGTACATACGTTATTTAACATAACATGTTAAAAAATGAATAGAAAACATAAATTATTTTTAACATTGTAGTGAAACTCGTCTCAGAAAATTCGGAAATTTTTATAAGACGGGCGTACGAGTATACGCGGTTACGTTAATACACACGAATACGAAATAGTGAAGAGGTTTTTTCTTTTCGGTATTTTTCGACATTTCTGCAGATCAAACATCGTCACATTACTTAGTGCGGCGAAAACTATATCATCAAACATTTGTCCCTCCCTTTTCTCTCTCTCTCTCTCTCTCTTTCTTTTTCTATGTATATCTATTACACAGCTAATGCGTAGTCGGAGGCGAGAGTGTGTTTATCAGTACCGAATTTTTGTAATATAACAACTGGGGGGGGGGTGGTACTCTTGGCACGCGGACATGTTAATACGGCGTGTCAGATGTACACAGCAACGGAAGAGGAGGTCAGCACAATGGATGAAAGTGTCATAAATTTTAAAAACGTGTCGCTTCCTCCCCTGTACGACGACCACCACCCCGTCACCGCTTTCACATACACGCGCGCGCGCGCAACCGGAACACGCAGACGCCACCACCACCACCACCTGCCCACCAAACAATCGCTCGCGCGCAGCCACCCCGAGGACGCACACCCCCTCTGACCGTCTCGGATCACGCCGCCGCCGGTAGTTTGAGAATCGTGTGGCGCCTACACGCGTTGTTGTGGTCGACGAGACCGCCGCCGCGTAGAGAGCCAGCCAGTTCGTACGGACTTTTCGTGACAGACAGACGTGCAGTTAGTGTGTGTGTGCGTGTGTGTGTGTGTGTGTGTGTGTGTGTGTGTGTGTGTGCATTTGCACGTGTGCGTTTGTGCGTGTGTGTGTTTGCGTGAAGGTGTGTGCGCGTGCCGTTTCCACGTGTCTCCCACTGCTGCACGCCTCCGCCCTCTGACCATCGGGTTTAATACGCCGCTCGTTTTCGTGGTGTTTTCGCGTTTTTTTATTTTGAATTTAAAAAACAAAGATAAAAAAAGGTTTCGGTATTTTTTCTCTCATTACTTTTACACCGGACGTTGTATCCGTAGTGCATTTCAAATTCATTACGAAAAATAATATCTTTGATTCGCAGTCGAAACCCCTCCGTCGATCGCAAACCGCATACTCGGTACGTATAAAATTATATTCGATCATTCGTGGTTAATTGTCGTACGTAACTGCAGGCGACGGACTCTCGATGCGTTTTTCACACGATCAAAGCTGAATGAAAAATATAAAACAAATTACTGTGTGTGCATAAACATTTAAATATTACTCATGTCAAATTCACGACGTATAAATATGCCAATACCATATATACTATATACATAGTATATAATAGTAGTAACCATTAATAAGTCATCACGATTGGTTTTTTTTTATTTAATACGTGTTTTTCGTTTCAAATATATATGTCATAATATAAAAATACATTTAAACGATTATAAAAATATAAAATAAATACATTTTTAAGATTTAGATTTTTTGACGAGTGTTTGACAAAAAAACCACAAATCCGTCAAACGTTTCAGATTTGAGGTTACATAATTTTAAAAATATCTAGTGGCTATTGGATGTGTGTAATAATTTAAAAATAATTCTATAATCCTTCAAAAGAATAAAAATAAATAAAAATAACTATTATTAAATCTATTCGGAGGTGCATATACTATTCGAAAAGGAAATAGGATATTTTTTCTTTTAAAAATGTGTTTAATGAAAATGTTATTTAAGAAATTACTATTATAGTACCTTTTTCGTTAACTAAGTAGAAACACCTTTGGCGTGGCAAAAATTAAGATAACACTGAGTCAAGTCATAGAGTAAATGATTGACAATAAACGCATACAAAATAAAATAATAGACATTTAGATACGCGAATTCAAACAATTATTATTTTATGTTGATAAAAACATCATGCAAACATGATTTTATTCTAACGCTAATTTTGAAGAGGAAATAGTTTAGAATAAAAGTGGTCTTGCACTTTTGGCCGCACGATGAATATCATTTTGACGCTGACATATTTTATAGCAATTATATACAATTATCACAGTCGTTATTCAACGCTTTAAAAAGTTTTCTGTTTTCCGTCATCAGTGACAAATTTAATCACCCCCTAAAAACTTTATTTCGTTCAAGTTTCAAAACAATAGAATTGAATTATTCTTCACTTTTATTGTTGATAATCGAATTAAGAGTTGAATTTAAGATATAGTGAATAGTTTCATTGGAATTTTGGTTTCTTTTATGTTCGACTGGATGTTTTATTGTTAATTATTAACATTTGCTGACATGATAAATCGTGAATATTAGTTTGTAAAAGTAGTTTTGTATATGTATTTTAAATTTCGTATTACGTTGTACAAGCAATTAGTATTTAACTTGTTCATTTAGTCTTAAGCATACACGAGAACCATAAACTATGAATTATTTTATTTTATGTGAGACAATAAACTGGTTATATTACTTTACATGTACACTTAGTTATCCAAATTTTTTTCTTTTCGGTCTGCATTAGTCAAGGCCATACCTAGACATTTTTTTTGGGAGGGGTCCAAAACATGTATATAGTAATTTTATTGAATTTCGATTTTAACTTTTGATATTTGGTTAAAAATAAAGCAGAAAAAGATTTAATCTTCTTTTATTAATATTAATATCAAATTTTTATATGATAATATGATATAAAATTAATAGCAGTCAATGATTAATTGGAGCTTAAGTCATTTTTGACTGAAAATATTTATGTTGATATTAAAAATAAATAATTATTATTATTAAGAAATTCGAGGGGGGGAGTCCAGACACCCTGGACCTCCCAGATACGACCTTAGTATTAGTACACAAGTATGTCACGACGGTTGAGATGTTATCCATTTTACTGTTCTATTTATTCTATGTTTTATCGCTTACCCTAAAAATACTGATTTACATTAAATTCCATGTTCCCCTATGGTAATAATATTGATTGGGCAATGCACATAACAAAATTACAGTGATTTTTTTTCAAAATACAGTAAAACCTCGATAACTCGAATCGGTTAGGGACAAAAAAAAAAAAAAAAAATTGAGCTATCGAAAATTCGACTTATAGAGGTTCGAGTTATCAAAGTTTCACTGTAGTTTATTTTCTTGCAGTAAATTAAAATTAAATTTAAAATATGATTATTAATAAATTACGATTCCTTATTAGGTTATTATTTTTGATTAATTATTTATTACAATTTTTAATGTATGTTTTATAACATCTGAAACGTATCTATTCTTTTATTATATGGTATTTATTTTTAATTTATTTCATACTTTTTTTTTATTTCTTATTAAACACATGATTTTCTTAAAGAATATTTTTTTTCGTATAATGTTATTATTAAAATATCATTATAAACAGTTTTTTTAACATATAGTGCTAGTAAGCCTAATGTTTTTTATTGGTTTGTGAAATTAGATAAAATATTTTCTGAATTTAAATTGTTTACTATTACAATAAGTTCAAAGGTTTTTTTGACTTAAGATTTTGAAAAAAAAAACAGCCAATATTAACTGTTGTTCGAACAATATATATTTATCGTAGTAATAAAATCGTTTAAATCGTTTCTTCTATTCTCATTCCCTATTTCGATTGAAGTTGATTTATTAAAGTACACTGTTATTTTCTCAAAATTTTATTATGTGTAATATGGAACCACGGCTGTTACGTATTTGTTTTTTGTTGATCTTTTTTTTTTTATTAATTTTGACTATAAAGGTAGAATTTCAATCATTTATCAAACGGCTATAGACTAGGTTATTGTAACGGTAGGTACATCGGTACAGGTCTTCTTTTTGGTAGTTATTTTTTGGCACTTATCCTTTATTTGCTGAGACATGGTTTTATTTCTGAGAGCCCGGATGACCTTTTCGGAAACTAGAAACACCCATTCAGAACTGCGGCTAACTAATGCTTCTAGATATGCTTTTGATGAATATAAAATTTTCCCAATAATGTATATTGTATTCGGTTTATAATTGTTTTATATTTCACTGTCTTAAATATTTGGACGAAACTCATATGTTTTTTTAATAAGAAAATTATATTATTGACACTTCTACCTTTAAATTATATTAAAATTTTTCAAATATTTTTATATTTTATAACTATGCTGGTAAAATTTTATTTTTCTCATACTCGTTGCTATGTGTAAATTTTCAACACATGTTACCATAAACAGCAGGAAAATGTATTTTAAAATGTCTTCTATATTTATCATAATAAAATAATTACGATTTTTGTTTTAATTTTCACGCTAATGCAAATTTTACCTTCAATATAATATTTAATTGTTATTACTTAATTACTTTTTTCCTAGTAAAACTTTGAATAATATTATTTTGTGATTTAAGCTGTTCCTGTCGTTTACAATGAAACGAATTAAATTATTAAATTGTGTTTCGTATTCCACAAATAAATTCATATTCTGTACGAATTTAACAGCTGATATTGTTTTAAATTTAAATCGTGGAACTCGATCCTTAATACATTTTATAATAATAAACATTATAAATACGTTTTTATTGTATTAACTCTCATTCTCGTGTTCATAAATATATGTCCTAAACATGACGGCAGACATTACACTCGTCATCGAGTATAGACGGTATGGACGGATACATTGGCACATGAATATGTCTTACATACAGATAGTGATGGGTAAATACCGGTAAATATAATTTCAGGTAAATACAGGGTATTTATTCGGTAAATTGGGTAAATTTATTTTTAATGCTAAAACCAATTCATGGATATCACAATACTTTTTTATGATTGTTTCCTGACTTACTGATTTCAAGACTGATAATCAGAGTGAATATATTATATTTATTATGTTTTTGTTAATTTTATTCCCTTTGAAACCAATACTACTTTTAATTGAAAAACAAATAAATCTAAGAATTTAACAACTAATCTAAATGCTTCAAATTTTAAAGTGCAATTTATTTAATAAAAATGATTATTTTTGACAATAACTATAGTGTGATTATAATGACTATAGAAATAAAACTATATGTTTCATTTTATTTACATTGGCAAATTTGAATATTTTATCACAGAAATCACATATCACACTTTTATTGTCTTCACCGCGATGGTTATACTACCACACAGGATTTTTTATCCAACACATGACTAAAATAAACTTTTAGATACTAAACTAATTAACAAACTATATAAAAGTTAAATTCTTCACTCGTACTCTCATTTGACAAAAGAACTCGTTATTATCGTACAACTGATGTCAGTTATATGATAATGATATCCTTACCTATCAGTAGAAAATAAAAATATACAGTTTGACCAGATTAAAATAAAATAATATTAAACCAAATTTTTGGCAGGTAAATAAACTTGTGGGTAAATACTCAAAATATTTACCTACCCATCGGCTATTTACCCATGGCACATCACTACACACAACACAAACGAATTAAATGCACCGTTTCCATAATTTAATTTTGATTTTCATAGTAAATTTTTAGTCAAGTTACAGTATTAACAGAGTCTGTTTTTAATAAAATATATCTACAACATTCACTATGATTTTGGTCCATGGTTTTACTATAAATTAACTGTGATAAACATATTGTTGAACATGAAAAAGAGTTCTTTACTCGTTTGTTCTTTTAACTCGACGAGTGGCGTGTCGTTTTGAATAACATTTAGACCATTTTATTTATGACCACCGGCGATAAGATATAGTCACGTCAGTTTAATACACTCGAGAGCGGTGCATAACTCTCGTATGTGGGAATGGCATTGTCTTGCTATTAATCAGTACGAACGACGCGACTACGGTATGATAGTATGTCACATTGTGAAAAGATTAAATTACCGTTTGGGGACCGATGGGGCGACAAAAAGTGTTTCGATAACGATTACAGCATTCAAACCAAAGGGAGGGGAGGAGGACGATCTTAGATTCAGACATCCAGAGCCATGGACTAACCTCACATTGTTGGAGGCTGTAAGGAACCTACATCAGGACAATGTGGTGTTTGGAAATGCGGAAGAAAAACTTTTGCCACCACGCATCGCATTTAAAACGTGTGCACGATGCATTATCACGGAGCGACCGGCATTGTTCAATT